TCATTTGACTAGATTATGGAACGATAACTCGTCTTGACTGCCTATTAATTAATACATTCACTGAAATTCCAATTGAGAATTCATTGAGCAATTGTGCCACGTTTCTATCGTATCAATCAATTAATTGAATATTTGCCACCGTTAAATGCTGATTGTTGATTGATTTGATAATTTGCAATTCGATTCCTCCGCATCATGAATAACAATTGAGAAATACTTTTAATGAATTATGAATAAGTTCACTTTGCTAAATAAAAATAGAAAACTATCTATTCGGGATGACGTAAATATGTAGTCTGAGAGATTCTCCTATAGGAGAATTCGTATACGAATGCATTTTCAATACGGCGAAATTTTCAACGGTTAAAACAATTCGGAGATTTATAAAAAATTATTTCTTACATTATCTTTATGGAATTTTAATTATTTTTTAACGAATGGCAAATGTTTTTTTATGCATAATTAAATGATGTAAGGAATCGTAAATCTAGTATTTTGGGGGAGGAGAAAATAATTATATTGTTGATAGCAAAATTTTGTTGTTACTTCTTGCAAGTATTCATCCACCTTTCTGCCTATTTTCCCTTATTTCTTTTCTTCGCCATCTGTCACTTGACTTGAGCATTTGTGGGCCCAAACCGATTACCTAATTGAATAACGAAGGCTCCAACCATCATCGAACGAAAAAAAATGAGGAAGTTTCCCATTTCCTGAATGACCGTGCACGCAGAAAAAACCAACCGTTAAATGTATAATCTAGAATGTGATTTACGATGTTTTCATTTGGATAAATTACAGGATTACAGCTGTAAATTACGATCTTACACTGCGAGACGAGAAACTTAAATTATAATCTCGAGATACTTAATTACGAAATTTTGTAATTTACGAGGTCGAGTTTGTGACTCTCGTAATGTAGATTTTGAATTGAGTAATTTCCTGTGCTCAAAATTTCACTCTAACCTGAAAATTATTGTTGTCTCTTAGTATTTATTACTGTTGCCGTAGACAGCTGGAACTGGCACCATTTTCTTATGTATTATATTTATATATTGAAAAATATTCCATAAAAGTTCCGCGAATCCTTTGAAAATACAGAGCATCATCCCCTTCTAAAATATTTAGTAAAACGCTTACCAAATTTCTAATTCATCTAAAAAATTCAGTAATTTTAGGTTTTCAATTCTAAATAATAATTTGTTTTTCAATAAAAGCTAGAATTTTTATGCTCATCGTGTAAAATCAACATGAAATATAATATAATATTTTTGAATAGATTGAAAATTCAGGAAAATTATTGCTTGAATCTTTAACATTTCCGCAGTTTTTCAGTGTCATATCAACAGGAAAATTAAGAATCGCCAGAATATTTAAGAAATTAACAGATTAGTCAATGGAAAATTCTTGAGGAATTTGCTGCTACTGTGGCGTTATTAAAAATTTGGATTTTTTGTTACTTGAAATTTCAAGTGTAACTGCCCAACAGTGGATGGTCACGTAATTTCTATTTAAAATCGCAGACTTTTCTCGAGAGCCCCATCATTTTTCTGTCTGTAAAAAATTGCTATATATTGCTGTCCCGGCTAGGGACATTTACGTGGTGTAATTAGGGAAATTAAAGAATTTTCTGAATATTTCCCTATGCGTAGCACGAATGATTTAATGCTAATGAGGAGTCGATCCATAAAAAGATATAAACAATGACAATGTTCAAACAACTAAAAACTCCAGCCTCTATCTCTCCAAAATAGTAGTTGTAAACACATTTTTTATTCATTGATCGAAGGGAAAAAAATAAAAAAAATCGGTAAAACCACAAAATAAACTATAATTTCATCCATAAAGCTCAACTCTGATGTAATTTACTCAAATTACCTTATATCTAATACTTAGATTATTTGATTATTTTTAAAGTTGAAAGGTTCAACAAAATACATATTTTGATAAATTGTTAAAACATTACGTACCCACTTATACTTGTTCTCTTTACCCCCACATCTCCTCATCGAGACTTTTCTCACGTATCTCTACCACTACTCCCAATCCCCGTTATTTCGGAATTAGCAGTGTGAAAGAATGTCGAAGCAAGCGAAATCCACCCTTAAAAGTACCCAGAAACTAAGGGCGAAAATCGCGTGTCGTGGTTTCTGAGGATAAGTGATAAATCGACTTGCGCACCAGCCAATGACGGTCGAAAGTAGCGCTTCGGGATTGGCTCATACATAGACCACTCCCACATCATTAACAGACATTCAAAAGGACAGACAGTTTCACACTGCCCCAAAATCCCTCAACACCAGCCGTCCCTTGCCCCACAATTTCCTCATCATTTCCAACTCCTCAAAAATATGTAAAAAAATCTCCCACCACCCCAACACACCCCCCAATTTTT